TATCTGGTGCCTGCAGACTATAGATAGACTTCTAGAGGGGCCACTACACAGCTACTTCTCTGCGATGCAGTTGGTTACATCATCACTAGGACCAGAAACAGGCTACAAAGACTAATGGGAATCTGGTTGGTTACGCCACCACACGAACTAGGTACAGCAATACAGAGGATGCCAGGAAACCCTTAATCACCACCCCAGGGAATAGTTAGTGTAGTGAATGACCCAACAGGGGGGGACTTGAATTTATATGAAAATCTTCAGCCGATGATATCTACCTCGTACAGAAAAATTGCTCAGATCTAGCTAAAGCTGAAATTGTGTCGACGATAAACGGTATAAAACCATCAACACAAAACAGATACTCAATCACCCTGCACTTTTCTACTAATATCCCAGTATTAGGCCGATCAATAGAGCTTTTGTTTGTGACAAAAATACTAGTAGCAAACGGACTGTGAAACCATATAAAAGACAGTATGTAGATACTTATGCTCCTACTTCAATTTACCATTGATTACCTAATTTTTTACAAATAGTTTCTTTGCAATAAAAAACGCATTCTTCTAGTTTTTTGCTTATAAAACCTAAACTAAAGAAGCAATCTGAATGGTATACAGAGGCAATTTGTAAAGAATCGAAATACAAATAACATGAGAGGTCGATCGATCGGATCGGATAATTAGAAACGAAGAAAACCCGAAAAAATCGGAAAATTTAGGTTTTTTTTAATTCATTGCTCCGTCATTTCTGAATCTGTGTACAAAACTAGTGAAATACTTATATGTACTTTTAGTGTACACAAAGCAGGCGCTGTCGTACCATTAGTTTTGGCACAATTGCAATTTTAATTTTTTGGTACACTATTTTGCAAGATTTCTAGATGTTTTGGAGATAGGTAGTCCGATTTTAATTTTTTAGCTGGATTAGAAGTAGAAGTATAATACCTACTACGAAACGTATATTCTAATTTTCACATAAAATGATGCGAAATAGGTAAAACATTCCTCCAAACATGCTCAAAAACGGCCTAGCGCGCTTACGCGGTCCAGTTGGTGAATATCAGGAGATGAGGGACAGTATATAGGTATACAATTTTAAATATTATTAGTTATAGTATAGTTTAATATTATTGAAAGTGGTGATGCATAATACGCAACGGTATACAAGGACATCTAAATATATATATATGTATATGTATATGTATTCTTTGGGATAGAAAAGTACATTTAGTAAGAAAACTTTCAAATTCACGTTTGATGTCAAGACTTCGGGTAAAAAATGCAAGAACAAAACAAGCAATGGTCATGGGTTTCACATCATAGTGATTCCGTATATTGGTATTATTTATTATGTATATCTGCCAGACTGTCTTTTATATGATGGCACAGTCCGTTTGCTAGTAGTATATTTGTCACAAAATCACTGATTTAATACACTATTGATTGGCCTATATATGGAATACGCGTTAACAAAATGTAAAAAAATACACACTAGTTTCCTCGAATAAGAGCCGCTGAGCACACCCAAGAGATCCTGCAAATATTGTTTCCCTCCCAAAGCAGAACTAAAAAAAACTGGCGGGAGTTCCCTTAGCAAAATTACGTCAACAATTGTATTAAAAATGGTACCCATATAAACCTCAAGAGTATTTATTAGTGTTGAATCTTAATAAATAAAATGGAGTATGTATATTGCATATATTGTATAAAATGGTTGTTGGGCACTTTTTTAAATTTAAGTCTCTGCTCCCTGGTCAGTATTGCCCTGATCTAAAAAGGAGAGAACAATTGTATTTTGTTTGACAGTATTGACAGTTATGCTTGATATATGAATAGTAATCTTTGTCATTCATAAAAATAGAAATAAAGTTGTTATTTCAAGTAACAAGAAGTTATTTTAATAGACAAGGAACCCGAACATGACGCCCGAGCAGGGACTTGCAAGGAGAGAATAAACAATTTGTTGGTTGACACAGCCTTCCTGAATACGTTAGTTGTTCCTCGCAGGGAGCAGCATTGTGTATATGTAAAATTGGGCGAAAATCGGCCATTTTATCCAATTTGAAGAATGAGTGAAGAGAAAGAATTTCATGTTAGTTAAAAAAGAGCCACCGTAAAACAAAGGATTAACCTTTTTCATAGATGGAGTTGATTAACGCGTCCGAGAGCGAGAATTTTGTTGTCGAAGAAGAATGCGCGTTAGAGCTTGAATCAAGGCTAAATGCAGCACTTTCGTTAATATCCGATTATGAAGAAATTCAGTTGCAAATCGAATTAACAGTGTCTGAATCCGAGATAGAAAAGCAGATCCAGGATCGTTCAGGATTTCAGAGTCAGTATATATGGATTGATTTTCGATCAGAATTACACACTTTAAATAAATTGAACATAGATCGTCACGTCATTTGTAGAAATCCCATTACAATTTAATTGCATGGGTTTTCAGATGCCAGTGAACGAGCTTATGGGGGATGTATCTATTTACGCTCAGTAGATGGTTATGGCAATGTGTATGTTCGTTTATTGTATGCAAAGACAAAGGTCAGCCATGTGAAACCAACCACAATTCCCAGACTTGAATTATGTGGGGCACTAATATTGTCAACGTTATATCAAAAGGTAGTCCAGTCTTTAAATATAAGATTCGATCATTGTCAATTTTGGTTTTGGTCATACTCAACTATCGTCCTCGCTTGGCTTAAAATTGAACCTTTTAGGCTCAAAACCGTTGTGTGCAACCGTATTTCGGAGATACAAACTAATGCGCATCCGTATTCATGGCGGCACATTTCCGATTCTAACAACCCTGCAGATTTATTGTCCAGAGGTACAGTCCTCCAATTTAAAAAATTCCTCACTGTGGTGGCAAGGGGCTGAGTGGCTCCAGGAGGAAGATTATGATAAAGACTTTGTATCTAATGAAAGATGTTTACAAGATGATAGTGATTTGCCAGATTTGAAGGTCATTAAACAGTGTCTTATTACGCGCAAAGGTGAAGAATCGTTTTCTTTTCAAAATTATTCATGTTGCAATAAACTACGGCGAGTGATTGCATATTGTTTGAGATTTTGTAATAACTGCAAACGTAAAGCCAATGATCGCACATACGGTTCTTTGACTACAAAGGAACTCAATGCTTCGGTTTTAATATTAGTAAAAAAAGGTCAGCTTGAATCATTCCGGGAAGGTATTAATTCTTTAGATGCTCAAGGTACAATAAAGCAACGTAGTAAATTATTAAAACTTACACCTTTTTGCATACTGATAGAACCTTAAGAGTTAAAAATAGATTGACCAATTCAAATTACTCTTTTGATAAAATAAACCCCTTGATATTGTCGGCTGATCATTACTTGACCAAACTGTTGTTTCGCTATAAACATGGGAAATTATTGCACGCTGGACCGCAGCAATTATTGTCTTCAATACGTGAACGATATTGGATTGTATCCGGTCGGAAACTTGCTAGAAAAACTGTCCACGAATGTGTCAAATGTGTCAGAGTAAATCCAAAGGCTTTTGCGCCCTCTATGGGAAATTTTCCGATTCAACGTGTAACGTCTTCCCCTCGCTTTTATCACACTAGTGTCGATTATGCCTGTCCTCTGTGGTTAGCAAATAGAAAGAGCAGAGGAAGCAAATTGTTAAAATGTTATGTATGTATCTTCATTTGTTTTTCCACCAAATGTATACATAATATGGAACTTGTAACATAACTGTCCACCGGGGCATTTATAATGGCTATGCGTAGGTTCATAGGTCGTCGTGCAGGCCTGCGCATATGTACTCGGATAACGGAAAGAATTTTGTTGGAGCCAACTCTGACTTAAAAGAATTTGGGAACATGTTAAAACAAAATTCAGATAGCCAATGCAAACAAAGATGTTAACTGGCACTTTATCCCCCCGTATCCACCCCATTTTGGTGGCTTATGGGAGGCGGCGCGGCGGTTAGGTCCACCAAGTTTCATTTGAACAGGGTAGCGGGAAACGCGCACTTGACCTTGGATACATGGATGTATACATTTTTTAATTGGCCGCTCATTAACGTCACTATCAGATTGTGAGCTGGAAAATGTCCCCACCATGTTGGGTACTTATTTAAATTTAAAAGTCTCTGCGCTCTGGTCAGTGTTGCCCTGACCTAAAAAGGAGAGAACAATTGTACTTTGTTTGACAGTATTGACAGTTATGCTTGATATATGAATATTTGTCATATATTTGTCATTCATAAAAATAGAAATAAAGTTGTTATTTCAACTAACAAGAAGTTAAAAAGATAAGGAACCCGAATATTATGCAATGGTTTTCTTTTCAAGACCACTGGTTTATACTTTTCTGCGAAAACACCTAGAAAGGTCGTCACAAAGTTAAAATAAATGTAGATCCAAGAATAATGCCTTGTGGGACTCTTGCTTCTATTTCTAATCGTTTACTAACAGCGTTATTAATTTTAACTGTTAATTCGTTTTTAGATAACATTTTAATTAATCTAACCCATGCCCCTTTACTCCAATATCATGTTATTTTTGTAATAATATACCAATAACAAATAATGTAATATGCCCGAGTTAAATCCATAAATACTACAATACATTTTTTCCCATTATTAATATGGTTAATGTATCTCCTGCATCTTCATTTTATTAAGAAAAGAGTATGAAACAATTAACTTCAATGGCCAGTGGCTAATAAAATATTGCAATTCTTAGGAAACAATAGCACTGCAGAAAAAATACACACTAAAAATTCACCCTGCATTTCAGAACCACTATTTCTTTCCGAAATGAGAATATAATTTTTGACAGCAATTAACATCTTGTTAACCATGCTTGCTATGAATAATAATATTTCAAGTTTTTTTCAGTGTTTGTTAATAATGATTTTTACGTAAAACAGCAATTAAATATTCAAAGCAATTAAAGTAGGGGTACCCAATTAAAGTTATTTTTGAATTTAAATAGTGATAAGAATACCTTATATAAATGTAGAATAGGTAAATTTATGTTAACTGTTATTGCAATAGTATTTCAAAATGAAGACATCAATACTTCTGTTTGGAATACTTTTATTAACTGTTAGTCAGTCAGGTGAGATTTTATTATTATAACCAAATATATAACCTAATTCATTTTGTATTAATTTAATATAATATTTGAGACAGTAGAAGAAACCGTCACATTTATTTTTGTTTTTAATTTTGCTATCAAATTTCTGTCAATTTAAGTTGAAACTAAAAAACTGAATAAAAAAGACAGTTGAAATCAAATATGACTCGTTTTTCGAATAAGTTTGGAAGGAACCCTTTTTAATGTAATTAGGAACCAAATTCACTATCCAATTATAGAAGCATTCAATGGTATTGTCTGAAGTTATTTATTTGGGGCATAGTCTTCGTTTTCCATTATTTGTTGAATATTTTGACATTTATGACGAAATTAGTGAAATATATCCTTGCGCCAAAAGGTCGTTATTTTTTATGAAAATGTTTATGCCTACTATCGAAATAAATGAAATAGACACCCAAGTCTGGAAAACGATATTAAGAAAACGTACTAGCGAAAAAATTTGAAATTTGGACCATATTTTACCTCACTATTACTCTATATATGCTAAAATTTCAGTCAGTTTCGTTATCCCATTTTTTAGTTATTTATGAAAATATTATAATATAATATAAAAAAATCGCAGTTTTCTGCCTACAAAATTGATACCTCCCATTTTAACTGGCAACTTTTTTGTTAATTGATGAAAAAATTCCAAATTTTTACTGACGTATAAGAATATCATATTTATAACTGTATTATTTTAACAATTTTTTCAGATTGTTGTTTACAGTTGTTATTTACTACCTGTGCCAATTTTTTTCTTTTTTTAAGGAACAAATATTTACAGAAATAGCACTCTGCTCGAAATGAAAAAAGAAAAGTTTTTGAGACAAATGACCTTCACAGTACTAAAGACAATAGCTCCAATTATCGTCAGTAAAAATTTGGAAATTTGTGAATTTTCAACTTTTTCATTAATAACTAAAAAATGGGATAACGAAACTAACTGAAATATTATCACACAATACAGTAATTGTGAGGCTATAAGGTCCAAATATCTTCGCCCTTACGTTTTCTTAATATTGATTTCCCAACTCAGGGGTATATTTCATTTATTTCGATAGTAATTAAAAATTTCTTACTGAAAAGCAGACAAATAGAAAATACATATCAGTTAAAAAAATAATCTGTTTTCGTTTTCAATATTCAGCAACGATACGTTTTAAAATTATTTTTGGTAGATTTAGTTTAAACCAGTTTATTTTTGTTTGCCTTCTTCAGTCTGAGATTTTTTATCAAGCAAAATTTTTCTCATAAAAAAACCCTTTTCGAGCAAGAGTTTATTTAATTCATGTTTACCTTTTTGTTTAGGTAGGTGGTAGCAAAATTCCCAGTAAATAAAAAAATATATTCAGTGGTATCGAAATTCTAGGATTCTCATTAGCGGTATATCTCAGTATCACCTCAGTGGCTATTATAATCATATACAGATTCAGCGAATACCTTTATTTAATTACATCATCAACCCAAGTATTATCAAACATTTTTCGAAATATACGTTATATTTTTTAAAAGAATTATCACCCTATATCTCGAATAAGAAGTAATTGGGTATATACTATCATAAAAATATTTTTACTTGCTTTGATTTAAAGAATAACCTCCTATTTTTATTCGGTCAATTTGTGACTCATATTATTCCCATTCTACACATATATTCAATTTTGGTGGTTATATATTTTATATATTTCATCCAAAATATAGTTGCTTAATAAAATCATTTGATTTATTTTAAGATGTAGTATCGATACGATGTATCAATTATTGGACTTCAAAGATCATTTATAATTATGCTTCATTATTAGCCATTGGCTCTTCAAGTATACACCTCAGATTTCTGACAATTTTGTACGTTATAAATATATATTAACCGACGAAAATTGTCTAGAATATAACAGTAGTGACAGCTGTACTTTCGCTTCAAGCTAATTTCAGAATTAATTCATACTACGTTTAGATTTACTATCCGTACAACCTGCTCATTGTTTTGAGATGTAACAAACTTCTTAATGTCACTAACTATTATAAATAGTATGTATAGTAAAAATTCTCAATCATTTCAAATTTTTTTGCTTGTATAATCAAATCACCAAATTGAATTTACGTTTTGAGTATCTTATCTATTATTACAACATTTTGATGATCACTTTTTTTATGTCGGATGAACCAATAGCGTGAAGATAGCAACACTCGTATTTGGAAGCGGTGGTATTTTCAGTTAAATTAGCAAGATCAAATAATTTGGTTGTAGGATTTCATTCATAAATTAACCTGCTACACTGATTTGTCTATACCGTGCCTCAATTTTTCAACAATTTGTCTTGGAACAATTTTACCTGGTGGGTAAAATTATCGGGAATGAAGGAAATGTATGGAGACTTTAAGACGAAGAGAATTATGGAATAAAAATTTGATAGAATGTAATGTGTAATTAATTAGCAGCTTCATAATATCCTTATTCTGCATTATTGAAGTATTGCGCCTCGAAGTTTTGCAGCTGACACATTCTTCTCTTTTGTAGTGTATTAACAGAATGGTCATTCAATATTCATTTAGACTCTGCTAAAAGTGTTTATTGAGAAACTGGGTTTTAGAAAATTGTATGTTACGAGGGCTACTTTTTCAAGATTTGATTGGTCGCGAAATTAAAACCACAATGAAAATCAAACATGTTTTATTTGCAACATTTAACTACACCTTCCAGCTACTTTTTTACATAATCGCCTCTCCGACTAGACATTTTTTCGTTGTCTGTGTCAAAATGCTGTCCTCCTAGCCAGCGTTTCATGTGAGCAAATAGATGAAAATCAGTCCGGGCTGTATGGTGGGTCATCAAACACTTCCCATCGAAAATTCCGCAGGAGTGTGTTTGTTACAGCTGCAATGTACGGCCGAGCATTGTCATCAAGAAGGACAATGCCTGATGACAACATTCTTCTTCGCTTGTTCTGAATTGCCCTTTGTAGGCGTTGCAGAGTCACGCTGTATGAGGCTACAATGACGGTCGTGCCACGTTTCATTAAGAGAACATTTTTTCGATACCATAACACAGTAGTCATACACTATCTGATGGAGAGGGTTCGTTTGCTGTTCTTTGGTTTACTCGGGGAATGAGAATGCATCAACTGTTTGGATTGATCTTTTGTCGTTTCACTTTCGAAATGGACTCATGTCTCGTCTCCTGTGACAATTTTTTACAAAAAGTCTTTTCCTTCATCATGGTAGCGCTGGAGGAACGTTAAGGCGGTTGTGATTTGTTATGGTCGAACAGCATCTTGGGAACCCATCTCCACACAGTTTGCGGTACTAAAGTCTCTCACTCACGGTGGTATAGAGAGCTGACTTTTAAAATTCACTCAACACAGAAATTGAAGACATGGCAGCAAAAACGAGTTAACTGCACTATTAGAATTTGTTCTGGAGGGACAAAAACGTGTTTTAAAATTCAAATTGATCTTTATTCTTTGGTTTTTATTGTAAAAGTGGTTAACATGTTGTGTAGAAGTATACTGATAGAGAGAACAATATTTAAAAGACTGCACTTTTTTGAAAAACAAAGTTTTGCAGCTACCCCATTTTTGCCAACAATTAATTTTTTTTATTAATGATAGTAATGTACATGAAGTTTACATACTTAACTACATGCGAACTCTCTTTACTATACATAACTATATGTAACATGACTGTTTCTATTATATATTTTAAATATTTTGGAAGTTACCTCATTTTTACGCCAAATAAAACGAGCAAACATTTTGTTTAAAGAAAACCGAACTTTATTTTAGAAAACAATGTTAAGTACAAGTTTTTTATCCAAACGACAACATTAATATACTTTACCGATTCGTCCAAATAACTCCATTTGCCCAAAAAGTGCAGCTACCTCGTTTTTGCTGCAATGTCTTCAATTGTAAACCGAGATTTTTTCGAATCGCCTGATCCACTTGCTGTACAATATCATCGGGACGTCTGTACGTCCAGCTTCACAGTTCTTGCACCATTGCCGCACTTTGCTGTCACTCATGAAAATTTCACAATACACATTACTCATTCGTCGATGAATTTGGACTACATTGCATCCCTCAGCATGAAGAAATCGAATTAACACACACTTCACAGCTTGTTGTAGGCCCAGACTCTACCAAAGCGGAGACGAGACGAGAGGAGAGATGTGTTACAAAAAACCAATAGGATTTCGTTATTTACATATCTCGTCTCCGCTTAGCTTCATATCAGTGGATACGGCTGAGCAGAGAGCGGAGCAGATGTCTCATATTTGTTTAGCACGAACAAAACAGAGATGTGTGCTGTGCCCCGCAAGCTAGCGACAGCGCGGCGTGCAGCTGAGACGAGAGGTGATGTAAGCGGCAGGCGTGCGGGCTTCGGCAAGGGGCTGCTTCTTCAGACTCTAGTTCTTCTTCTTCAAGTAAAACAAGATACAGTTCTTGTAATAGTGACATAACTGACGTCTGCCTTTCGTGCCAGATCGCACTAGACTGTAGGTAAGTCCGTTCGTCTCAATATCCAACGCTCGCCGCATGCAGCTCCCCTCTAGCCAGTACGCACAGTCCGCACAGCTTCGGTGGACACACCCTAGCTGTTAAGCATCTCCTCTCCTCTCCGCTTCGCACATCTCCGCTGTGCGGTCCTTAGGCGAGTGCTCACTGCGCGCTTAGAACTGACAAGGGCGACGTGATGCAGTCGACGGGCATACTAGTGACACCGGCAAAGCTTCATCTGATTTTCAGTGTGGTTTTCATTTCGCCACCGATCGGACATTGAAAAAAAATAACTTTCATATTAATAATTATTAATATTAAATTAATTTAATATTGATAACTATTAATATTAAATTAATTTAAATAACCTGTTATGTTTTATTGAATATTATTAATTATATTAAGGCGAATTCTGCTGAATTGATATCAATGCCAAATTTCTATTCAAACATACATACTATGCAGGGTGAGTCATTAATAATGGTACACAGCTTAATGACAGATTGTTCGTAACACCTTTAGAACAAAAAGGAGCAACAATTGACTAAGACATGTTTGGCTCAATCACTATATTTTGACGTTAACAATCTGCCATTAAGCTGTGTGACATTATTAATGGCACACCCTATATATTTGATGATATTTTTAAAGGGTGTTTCTAAAACAGGGTCCCAAACTTCTGCTGCGTTTATAACCCATTAAAATAAGCCAAAAAGTTATGTACGGCCGTGCGGCTGAAAATGCATCAGAAGTGAGGCGTCTGTATGCGGCAGCATACCCGAATAGAAGACTTTCTTCTCGACAGGTAATTCAAGTGCATATCTGCCATTTCCGTGTTTGAATATGACTCCATTTTATGAGTTGCAATAATGTTGTATACTTAAATTTTCCACTTACCACTTTTACTAATTAAACACTGCAAAGCTCAATTGACAGTTTATCAATAACTTAAATTGTTAAGCGTTGTGGCAACGTCAGTCTTTTATTTGCCATGGTAAACAGATTTTTGTAATTTTTGGCCTAATAACTTAAAGAGCAGAGTAATTTTCAAACTCAATTTACTCGAAAACCATTGGAAATATCGATTTGGACAAAGATAATATTTTTTACGTAAAATTGTTAAGATTTTATAAATCTGTAGAGAAAATTGTAAAAAAATTGAAATAAAAAAAATTACGGGCCGAAAACCCCCTTCACCAACCTAAATGGGACGCATATGATTTGCATGTCGAAAAACGGAGTAGCCCATGTTATTTAACGTAAAAAGTTATGTAAGACCCATAAATTTTTTTCTATTTATTTGCGACCGTTTTGTCAATAACAGAAAAAAAAAAGTTTTGTTTGAGCTCTTTTAAGGGCATATAACTTCCTAAGGGTGCGTTTTAGGGCACATGTTAATAGGAACTTTTTGGCTTATTTTAATGAGTTATAAACGCAGCAGAAGTTTGGAACCCTATTTTAGAAACACCCTGTATACGTTTTCAAGTTAGGATGTTACAAATTTTATTACATCACCCATCACCTCATACACGTAGTGTAGTAAAATTTTATCAAAAGAGCATTTTATTAACAGTTAACTTTTCATTTTATTTTCTATTTTCTTGGCATCCTAAATAAACACATTGTTCTAAATTAAACGTAATTGGAAGTTTATATTTTTTTCAGTTTCTCACTTGATAAAGAGAGATACAGAAAATAACAGCATTGAAGAAAGCCAATCACCGGGTGAGTTTTAAGATTCACATATAAAAAGTAATATTGGCGATCTAGTACAAAAGTACAGTCCGGAGGATATTTGTCGAGTTGAATTCCAAGAACACTTACAAAGAAACACGCCTTCTGCTAACTGCAGTCCAAAGTCTGATTGCTCTTGAATTATTCATTATTTTTTAACTTTTCGTGGATAAAAAGATAGATAATTTATTTAGATTTTATTTTACAATTAATAAAAATGGTTTTTAAAATAACGGCCATTTTTTTAATAAAAAAACGCATTTGTTATAAATAAACATATGAAATGATTTATATGTAAATAAAATACAATGCTTTAGATAACGTACAGATAAATTCTTTTTAACAATTGAAATAACAAAGTATGATTAAAATAGAATACAGAGCAGGCCAGGGGATAAAAGTAAAAATTTTGTTCCAAAACTCTATAGCTTCTAGATTATTCAATCTGCGATCTGTAGTTCTCTTTCGCACATTTGGCATACTGAAAATCGTTTTATATGTCGAACTTAGTAAATAATGAATTAAGTGACATAACTTTATAATGGGACAAAAGTAACACCTTGTTGCTTTTGACATGATTTACTTTCACGAACACGCTTTATAGTTATTTTTTACGTTCTATTGTTTTGACGTCTATTCCAATATAATTCGATAGAGCTTATTTGACTAACAATAAGTAAATGGATTATGTCACCAGCAGCTTAGAAACTACAAATTTCATAAACTTTTTCTAAGAATAAAGTAGGGATTCCAGTTTCAGAAAAAAATGTTGATTGAGGGTTATTTTATAACAATTAACCAATAAATTGACGAAATAATTACAATAAATCTGCACCATTTGCTATTTTACAGTGTCATAAAGAGAGAACAAATTCAATTGGTACATTTCTGATCTTTCATAAACCTTTTCTTCGAAATCTTTTACATTGTGAAAATGGTACTCGTATTTTTTGCCTCACAAAAAAAATCGAGGATTTTGTTTTCGTAAAGATCACTATCACTGGCTAGGGAAGACGTCAGGTACAAACTATTTAAATAATCCAGTTTACAGGACGTAGAAGATTTTAAAAAATATGTAGGTATATTATTAGAATTGTTCATTATATAGAGCGCCACAAAGGAAATAGTTAGCGAATTATTAATGCGTCTATATTTTTTGTTAGAACGTTATCTTCAATTTATATAAACTATAATATTGCGAAACTGAGATCCCTACATTGTTCTTGGAAAAAAAGTCTCTAAGGAAAAATAATTCCAAAATTTCTATTAGGTCACAGACGCTACTTATGTAGTATTAGTATATTCAGATCAATAGATTTCTTCAAATTCTATTGAAAATATCAGGGCTTGATACTAAAAACAATGTTGAATCCGTTTTTATAAAATGTATATTTCTCATATCTATTAGACTATATGTTACTTTAAATAGCTATTTCTGCAATTATTATAATTTCTAAAATACTATTTTTTAGGATTAAATCGGATTCTGAAAGATATTTCTAACAGCGCTGAAATATTTATGCATTTGACTACGGGTGAGGCTAATGTAGAAGAATTTGTTAAAAGTTTGCAGAACCTTACGAAGGATATTGAAAAGCAATTATCACTTTTGAGTATTGCAAGTGAAATTCCTATATTTGGCATTTTCATAAAACCTTTCATTTTACTTCTGCAGTCTTATGTTAGCCGAATTCCAGTACTTGGATTCCTATTAAGCCAAATACTTGTTGGACCAAGGGGTAAGAACATTTATAACTTTACCTTGAATGTAGAAGTGCCTAAAGGCTGGTTCTCATTAATCAACTTGCTCAATATCGTCGAATTTACGTGACTGAACATAGAATTGAAAGTAAAATTCGTTCACATGATTCAAGAATATTGAATATACTGTCTAGAAAGTGTCAGTATTAAAAATGGCTATAAAGAAAATTGTGTGTGCTGGCATTTGTATTTTGTGTGAATATTTAAAAAACTTAATCAGAAATAGGAAAAAAAATAAAACTTCGTCGTTAGTGGTTCAGACCATGGATTTTAAAACGCAAATATGAAGGTGATTCAGAAAAGCGGTACAGTTGACTTGGATGCCTATAAAAATTATTTAAGAATGACTAAACAGAAATTTGATGGGAGGCTCTTCAAGAAAGATTCAAGTTACAAGTAGGTATGTAGTTTTAAGATATCTAGCCACAGGAGATTCATTTCCATCTATGAGTGCACTGTACAGGCTGCCCAAAAATAGTATTTCGCAAAAATTGAACCTCAAAAATACACACAATGGCCTTTCAATGCGATTGAATACTTGTTCTCACGATCAAGCCCTGTCCAATTTAATTGAATCAGACTTATCGATCAACGAAAAGTAGAAATGTCTTTCACTTTTATTGAAACATAATATTATTGAGCAATTGCGTTGAACGGATGTTTACATTAATTCATTTTATTTCAAAGGCATAGATTCAACGATACTGATCAATGAAGTTGACCAATGAGAACCCGTTTTTAATAGAAATAAATAAATTAAGGTTAATGGTATCTAATCATGTTACAAAATATTTTTTTTTTGTTAATTGTATTAGTCAGTCCAAATTGCTTTACTGTTCACAGAGGTGTATGTAATTGGCATTTTTTTAAATAGAAATTGAACTGCTTTTATTACTTATTTAAATTTATTTTAAATTAACCTATCGCTCTCAGCATGTCCTAATTGCTATTGAAAAATTGTTACATGCCAAAGTGGAACCGTTGTTAAAACTAGAAACAGTTGACATATTAATGTTGATTGAATTCTTTGATAAAATTCGTACAAAAGGAGTCTTCTTAGTGAAAAATGTTTTCAATTTGCTTATTACAGTTAATTCATACTTAGTAGAATAGAACAAGAATAGGAAAGAACGTTCACTCGATGTGTTATTAATACCTTAATCGACGACGGTGCCTTTATGGCCTTCATAATAACAATCAGTCCTATTATTAATTCATAATAACACCCAAATTTTAAAGTAAAAAATAAACAAAAACAAAGTTAGTCACCACTTTTACTTGTTATTATTAACTATAAAAAATTCAACAACATTTATTTATTGTAAACTTTAATTACAACTTCTGTACAATTTGTTAAATTAATTCCAGCAGATACTGTAAGTATCTGCTGGAGTAAGTAAGTTTATTTCCCGTGTGCTTGAACTTATTGAAGGGCCATCAATGCCCGAAACGTTACCCAAAATATTAGAAGCCACTTATTTCTATTTTCTTTGGAATCTTCTATATAGCTTTCTGCCACTGTGTTAGATCGCCAACCACCATGCTTCTTAATAGATAATAAATCGACTCCAGAATCTGCAAGCAACGATGCAGATGATCTACGAAAACAGTATAGTGTTGAGAATTTGGAAGACCCAGGAACAATGCTATATTACATGGCATTTTCCCAAAAATATTAATGCCAATTTTCTGCTTGATGCATTTTCCATTTCTGTACCTCACAAAAAATCGAATATGATCTGTGTTGCTTGGCCTCATCGCTATATATCTTTGAGCCATTTCCACCATATTTATTCCTTCAATGTTTCCATTTGTGATAAATAAAATCTCGTGATATCTTTGTTTTCGTAAACGGAATAATAATATGAATGCATTGTCCTTCATTATGTTTTCTTTTCTTAAAATCTTCAAGTTTTGCATAACTTTGCTCGTACATCCGAAGGGACACTCTCGGAATCAAAACCACCCATATCCACCCATTCTTTTTCACAAAAACTGAACGTATGATACAAAATTGGACGCCAATAATGAAGTTGTCAAAGTCAAATTTAAAACAATCAATAACTGTGGTTACCATGGCATCGTCAAATAAGAGCACCTAATAATTTTAACTTTCAATTTATGACAACGTCTCTAATATTTTAAGATAAATCGAATCTACAAATAACATCTATTTGGACCATCGTAGATTAAATTCTGAATGATACACGTTCGATATGAACTTTGTTAATGAAACTTGTGTTACTAAATCACTCGGCAAACGCCACGTGATTTAACGTTACATGCGTTTCATTATAGTGTTTATATCGAACTAGTATCATTAATAATAAGAAAACACTTCACAAAACACAAAAATGTTGCAAATATGAGAAAATCTACAATTGGTAGATTTACTAATCAACAAAAATTACATCATATAATTCGTCTAGTGTACGAATTGAAAATGGAAAATTTTAATCGTCGATTATAGTTCTCCAGCAACAGAAAACTTTTTTTTATATCAATATTTTACATTACTGAGACCAATCGATACGGGAACTTAAATTAGAAAACGACTCATGCGCCAGAACATTACGAACAGACAGCAAATACAAATAAAGTTCAAATGTATTATTCTGCAGTTTCAGAGTTTCTTTTGAAGAGGAGAACTATATATGTCGAATCACTAAGTATATTTATTTAGCACAAGAATATACCTGTATATTGTGGAATATTGAAGTAGTACACTCAATGAGCCACTTTCTGCAAAACGAGTTGATTTCAGCATTTACAATTTTATTCTCAAATGAAGAAGGACCAGATTTACCCATAATCCTTTTTTTCTCAGTATTACCCCTTTCATAATTATCTCCTTTTCCTATTAAGTTAAATCATACATGCAGTTCATTTTACTACAACCTTTTGTGAATATTCTTCTGTAACTTTTTTGTACATTTAAATGATCTTGGGAAATTTCTACAAGAGCGTCATATATTTCTCCCAGTTGATATTTTAGTAGATTAATAAATTCTATTCTACTCTCCCATCTCGTATCGTTAACACTTTTTAGTGTAGGGATGATACATGTTTTTTAATACTACCCACCTTTGTGTAGAGGCACTAAAAAATGTAAATAAATCTTGCACCATAAAATAATAATTTGCTATTTCGCCTGTTCTTTTAGCGACATCATTTATTACTAAATTTAGAGAGTGGCATGAACATGGAACAAAAAATGCCTTGGCATTCATGTCTAAAATAAATTCGTTTTTGGACACCTGCATGAATTTCTTTCATGTTGGCGTCATCACCATAGCCCTGTCCTCGTATATTGGTAACTTCAAAATTTAACTTATTAACTTCATTTAAAAGGGCATTAGAAAAATTTGCACCCGTTGATAGTTCAACGTTGAGGAAATCAATAAACTATTCTTCACATTTGTATGAGGACCCATCTCTTATCCCTATTCTTATTATGAAAAACATTTGTTCAACTTTACTAACGTCAGGAGTGCAATCAAAAATAATACTATAATATTTTGCAGATCTTACTTTGTCTAAAATAGTATTTTGAACTTTTCTCCTAAACAATAAGATTACATCATTTTGAATGTCATTACTTAAATAATGAACACTTTTCTCATGCATTGAAGCTTTTCTCAAATGTTCAACAGAATCAAATTTACCTAAAAATTCCATAATTTTTAAAAAAATTCCATCGTTAGGTTGTAAAACTTTATCCGATCTATCTCTAAGAGGAAGTATTTGAGTTGCACATAACTGTATGACAGCAATAATTCTTTTCAAAACGTCGCTCCAATATTGTCTTTGTATATTTAATATGCGCTGATGTTCCTGATCAATGGTTTTATTTACTTTTAACCTCTTGTCCATTTCCTTCCACTTTTAATAACATTCCATGTGACTGCTAAAAGTTTCGTGGGCTTTTAACCTTCTTGAATTATTTCTCCAATCTCTCTACCCGTTGAACCAGTTAAAAGAATTTAAGTCAGGATTTTTTAAAAGTTAACAACAAAAACAATATGCTGCATTAGAACTTCGTGAATATAATAACAATTTTCTTTTAAGCAACTCACCATTGGACAATTTTCGATATTTGCCTTGGTCCTTTTTCGACAATAATTTGATGTTCCAGACAATTTAAATTTTTCCAAGTTGCCGGATCTTCGTTGTACTGTCGAATTGTTCGATTTGAATTGATATCAATATCAAACTCATTAGATTCATCAACGTCAATTCTAGTTTTTCTGTTTGGCTAGATAAGTTTTCAATTTCTATTGAAGATGGAGATTCTAAATCATCAACTATATTTTCAGTGGAAGTGGACGTAGAAGGCTTAATAAATTTTTCCATGACACCACTCAGACTTTTTTGTTCATTTTCTTTGGTTAATCTCTTTTGTTTATAGGCAAATCCTGATAGCTTTTTTCTTTGAATTTCACTCATTTTTTTATTATTCATTCACTCAGGCATCTACAAAAAAGCAGTCTAACAGCATATTACGTATTAACGCTTAAATGTATTTTTACAGGAAAAAAGTAGTTGTTGAGAACTCAGTTTTTCAAAAACATTTGGCAACGTCAGTTTCTCCCGCGAGTCTAAAAATCAGCAGAAGCAGCAAAACAACTCTGTTGTCAATGCAAGTTAACGTTAAGTACGCAGCATGTGTTTATATTTAAATTAATTTACTTAAATGTATACCATGATTAAATAATAAATAACACTATAATTTCTCTTTGGCTGGGATATCAACATAAAACCTTAACAATTTCCATAAAATACTGTAATGACAATACGCTTGCAAAATCAGAATATTTTCGTATAGGACTATCTGCGCCACTAGTTGCGCAAGAGTATTGATACTGCAGTATTTTGTAGGAAGGACACAATATAACACGTTGACTGCGAGATAATCTCAATGTACCTTGTCCGTGAATGCGATACATATCTTCGGGGATATGTAACAAAACTTTTTTTGTGTGCGGTACATATCCCTGGGGATATGTAATCTTTTTACATTTGACCCTCTATAAAATGAAAAATAACACAATTATTGCTATAAACTTGCATGTATCTGTAACTATATATCCTAGGATGCTAACGTTTTCATTCGCAAAGAGTTTTGAATAGAAAAAAATAGAAAAATCGTTATTTCTGGTTTGAGTATTATTTTGTACGATTTTTTTTTGATAACTGGACACAATAAACTAGAAATAAGGAACACTTCATATAAAGAATCGAACATAACCTCCGTGCAACAACAACACCCCCCTTCGGTAGTTCGTGATATTGCTCACTATCGAATAAATACATACCCCAGGAGATATGTGCCGCATATTAGTTATATTATATTACTTCTATGCGATACATATCCCCCGGGATATGCATATTGACAGCAAGGCTAATATGTAAAAATTGGAAGCTTCATTCAAAAGCTATTTGATTCTTTGAAATCGGCCAAAAACTACAGATTCTGCAACTTCCACAAGATACAGTAAAAATGTGATTATTGAGATTCGCATATTTTTTATAATGAGTACATACCCCCCGAGGTATGTACCGCAGTCAACGTGATAAGGTACATTAGATTTAGTTTACATATCTCTATTATTTCAGAGCGTTTACATAGTAAATAAAATTTAGGAACTTACGGTTGAGAATTCGAAAAATATTTTTGGTCATTCTATCCACTCCCGGAAGTTCTAAAAGTGGAATATCTTGTATATACCGTTTGCTGAAATGTTCATTCAATTATGTTCAGTCATTAATTCATATGAATTTTCTGCTTAGTTTAGATGATATTTTTTAAATATTGACATGTTCCTAAAATGAAAGGACACATCTTCCTCATTCATTCAATAACAACTGTCTACTTACAATACAGAATACTAAATTAATTTTATTTTTTAGATCCACAACATCGAGCACACACAAGTTGACTATGAAATGTGATTAATACCAATGATTTCTTTAATGTTATTACTCATATTAGATATAACTAATTTTAATAACTTCTTATGATATGTAAGTACATATTATTTTATAAATAAATATCCATACGCACCAAGTGAGTATTACCAAAAATATGTATATCAATACTCCTTAGGCTTGATAGGCTCACAGAGACTATCTAGCAGGCTCCTTAGAGATCTCCGACAGTTTAATCGGAGGAATAGGCACATTGAGGCTTCGGTATCCTTCGGTCATTCCTTCCCATCGTTTTCCCTTCAAAATTTAACCAACTCTTAGAAATGGCTCCAGATAAGCCGAAACGTCGAAACTAAACAGTATCAGACGAGGTTTAACCCGAAAACCTAGAATTATATTACTCAGGCTGTTAATGATAAGTTTTGCCAAAACTTTAATGGCGTAATCTACCTATGAAAATAATCAACTTTTGTCCTATAAAAATTTTTGATAGGACGCTGCCCTACAGAGATACAGGGTGTTAAAAGTTTCAAATATTTATATGACTTTTCCTGCAACTTTACTGGCAAAAAATATTTAGTGATAAAATTTGGGGGATGGCATTTTTTTAGTAGGTGCTATTTTTTCATGGATAACTTATTCCAAAATACACTTCAGTAGCATAGTTATTGAGGGAGTAGGGGACCTTTTTGAAAAAAAATCGTATGCCACTGGTTTTTTAATAATTTTAAATGATTTTAAAATGTACAATCAATTTGTGGCAATAAAGTATTCTCGTAAAGTATTCGTAAAATTTACTGATCTTCAGATAATTGGGAAATCAAATAAGAAGATACTTAAGTACCTACGTTGCTATTTATCATTTTCTATTGATTGCTAAAAAATGTGTAACAATAAATTCCATACCTTAACAAAGTGCTAGTAGTCACTAATTTTGTAAGTTGACTGTAATTTCAGTTTGATCTTTAAGTCATTGTACATGCCAATTCTTAATGACTGTTTGCTACGATAAGATATACCACATGTTCATTTTTCGATATTTACAAAGTCCCTAATTTTATTGAAATAATTTGAAAAAACAATCAAATACAATAAAAAATGCTGGAGCTAAAAGTAACAAAGTTGAGGTTATTAAAAGTACAACTTATTCTACTTCTATTACAACTTATATTAGCTGTTCAAAATGATTCTTAAGGGGGCGATTTAGTATGTATATTTTTACCATGTAACAGAGCTTCAGATGAGAACACAAATCATCGAAGAAACTAACATAATTGAATATTATTATATATCAATGTATTCGCAATGGTTCCCGCTAGTGAGTGAAATAAATTTCAATGCTCATGAGAACAGAAGAATAATTTAAATAAATGCCAAAGTACCTCAATTTTAACCGTACTGTTAGTCTGCCAATATATTGGATTTACGACGGAACTAAGTCAGGCACAATAACCAAACTACTTCACTCACTAGAACGGACACTTAGGATCATTTGTATTTAATTTTCAGATTAATATTTATTAACAATTCTATAATTTGTGTCCTCAAGTAAGATGACAACATTTTATACAGGACTCCATGTTTATTCTATACTTAAACCAGAATTGTAGTGATTTTCTATCTCAAACAAGAATTTGTAGCTATAATTAGTTTGTATACTTTGTCACAGGTGTCGCTACCCTTGAAAATGAAAGCGAAAACACAGAGTTGGCTTATTAAAAATGCGTGCTAAAATAAAGCATAAGGTGGCCATATTCTTGGCCGAGAAATACTGAAATTTCTGGCGTGTTTAGGTACTGAAATCTTTAAAAGTAAAACGTGTAGAACAAAAGTAAACACAAAAATAAAATCCTTGATGTTTTGTTTATTCATTGTTACCATTTAAATTTACCCAAATAAAATAATAACTAAAAAAAGCGTTTGTAAAACATGCGTTTGATGTTATCCTAACCCCACACTTTAACAATTATTTTCACGTACTTATAAATAAAAGTAAACAATTTTATATGTAGGACTAAGCAAGTAAATGTTATAAGAATATTTACATGTGGAATTATATATAAAAAAGATAGTATTTTCGTAGATTTCAGTACCTAAAACCTTATTGATTTGATCGTTTTTTGCACCTGTTTATTCGTTTTACTGCGGCGTCTTTGAAAATACTCAGGTGGCATGACATAACATTCCTATTATTTGATAAGCTTTAGAATATTCAGTTATTAAATGTTTGAAATTATTTGTTTTTGCGGAAAACACTATTTAAAGAATACGGGGCTTATAATGGTCTGATATTATCTTTTATTTATAAATATGGGTAATTTTTTAAAAGTACCTAAGTAATAAGATTTTGTAAAGCTTAAGTAGTACGAAAATATAACGCATAAAAAACCAATAATATGTACGAATGTTTCTTTATTAGAATAAGATTAAATTTTACGTACAGGGTGTCCCACATAAAATCGTTATTTATGTTGTAGCCTTGGTAGTTTCAAAATAAATTTACAGCTTAAAAATTGGTCTGGCTCAGGTAGATTTCTTTTTCAATCTACAAATCAGTAGCTACTTACCGATAAGAAGGAAACCACTAGTCTAGTCGAGAAGTGAGTTTTCTGCGAAAAATAGTTATTGTAATCCTAAAAATATGGTTGTTAGTACATTGGATTCGGAATTAAATTCTGAGAAAGAAGTATTTTTTAATTTATCCGCAATTAAAAATAGCAATTGTTATAAACAAAAAACGAAGAGAAAAAAGGGAGTCTCCTTTTTTAGCTATAACTAAAAAAATATTGAAGATAGCTGAAATTTCAAAAAAGATCCTGAAAGAGGAGAAAATTTCAGCAAAATAAGTCAGGACTCCCGGAATTGTAGCTCCATTATTTATAATTTTAATTTGACGTTGAAAATATGGCTTCGCGCGGCGGTTTCCGCATCGTCGCGTCGCCTCCAAGCAAAGTGTGCAACACAAAATAATTTTTTTATAGTATTCGATATTAATTTAAAAATCTAAATAAATTATAGTGTCATCTAGACACTTGAAGGAACACAGCCCAGTTGGAAAATAATTTTTAACTTGACTTTTCTTAGTTATTCAATTGTTAATGAATTAATCTTTCATAAAACTTGTAAAAGTTTAAATAATGTATCTACAAATTTTTTTCTTTCTGGGAGGTCTTTTTATATACATAATAAACAAGATTCCGTTGTAAAAGTTTATAAAAGTTTTTTCATTTGTTTATAATGAGTTTTTAAAGTTAACAAAAAATGAAAAATCCGGGAAATGTTATAAAAATTTTTTTTTACCAAATGTTTGATTTTACTTGTTTTTCTATTAATATATTGCGTTTATTAACTTAGCTAAAAAAATTTTAACGTTATTTGTTTATAAATTTGTTATAAACAAATGGACAAGTTTAATATTTTTGAAACATTTTTTTGCCATTTTATTGTCTTGGTAAATTAATGATTTTTAAAAACAAAAATTTTTCTTAAATAAATTTTTTAATTGTTTATAATCGATTTTTATATTTATTTGTCATTTAAATTATTTATTAAGAAATCATTTTTTTTTAAATCATCATTTGCTATTATCAATATAATTATAAAAAAAAAATTTATTCAAATTTTCATTGTTTATTTTATAAACAATTTGTTATAAACAAATTCTGATTTTCATTTTATTTTTTTTTCGTAACTTTAACGAATTATAAATACAGCTATGTGCATCAAAGTGGTAAATAACATTTTTTTCTAATTTTTATTGCATTTTTAAATACTTTATCACATCAAAGCTGAAACGGTCACCTATTTGATAAACTTATAAATTGTTATAATTTCTAAATTATTGATGATACGGTCTTTGACATTCAGGTAGATCTTTTAGATAATTTATTGATCTATAACATGAATTTTTTTACCTGCTTCATATCTACAATGGTTATATTTTTATAAACATTTGTATATAAAAAAATGCATTATCTAATTCTTTAAATGACTAAAACTTTTAAACTATTGAAGTTACGGATTCCACTATTTAAGACAATTTTATAGAGTAACTACTGGACTACTCAATAAAAATTTTTTTATATTTTTTATTCCATTTGTTTACGATGTTTTTTTATTTGTTTAAATTATCACACGATTAAGGGTACATTTTCTGGATTTTCTGTACTTTTTTTCTAACTAATGTCAATATTTTATATTCTTCTTGTTGTTTTCTTCAATTTTGTCTATTTTTAATTAAACACTTAACTTTTGTAAGAGCAGAAACTCAAAATTTTAACCAATTGTGCAGCCTGGAAGATATTTACGGAATACAATGAACTTTTGAGTTATAAAATAAACAATGAAAATTTGAATAATTTTTTTTTTGTAATTATATTGATAATAGCAAATGATGATTTAAAAAAAAATTCTTAATAAATAATTTAAATGACAAATAAATCAAAAAAACGATTATAAACAATTAAAAAATTTATTCAAGAAAAATTTTTGTTTTTAAAAATCATTATTTTACCAAGACAATAAAATAGCAAAAAAATGTTTCAAAAATATTAAACTTGTCCATTTGTTTATAAATTTGTTATAGCTAAGTTAATAAACGCAATATATTAATAGAAAAACAAGTAAAATCAAACATTTGGTAAAAAAAAAATTTATAACATTTCCCGGATTTTTCATTTTTTGTTAACTTTAAAAATCATTATAAACAAATGAAAAAACTGTTATAAACTTTTACAACGGAATCTTGTTTATTATGTATATAAAAAGACCTTCGAGAAAGAAAAAAATTTTTAGATACATTATTTAAACTTTTACAACAAATTTTATGAAAGATTAAGTCCACGAAAAATTAGTTCATTAACAATTGAATAACTTTAACAAAAGTCAAGTTAAAAATTATTTTCCAAATTTTCCTGTGTTCCTTCAAGTGTCTAGATGACACTAAAATTTATTTAGATTAGATTTAGGCCCGATTTTTGAAAAAAAACCTAATTCGCCCGGACTACTAGGCTTATTTTATTCATTATTCAATTCTTCAAAAGTCTTCAAAATTTAGAAATAAAAAGTTGTCATTCTGGGAACAATTGTTTATACAAATTTTGACTTTTTTAGTATTTGTAGAATAAGCTTTACAAGTC